TTCCAACAGACTCGGAAACCAAAGGCTCAGAGAGGCGCTGCGCACACACAGCGAAGTGGGGCCGAGCTGCACCTTGCGTGCGGGTGCCTGTGCCGCCCAGCCCTGCGGCAGGCACAAAGACCACGACTTGGGAGGGGGCGGGAGAGGGCAGAGAGGAGGTGGCGGGCGCAGTGAACGAGGCTCTTGTCCAGCGCTCTCCTGCCCTGCCCCCACCAGCCCTTCTGTGGCACCATTGTCCCCTGGGGCAGACAAGAGGGTATTATCTGTTGCTGCCATTGTCGGGGGAGGGGAGGCGGTCTTGGGGTAACCCTTCTCCACCCCCTCACCCTTCTCAGAGCCAGGGCAGCTGTGGCTTGGCCGGGACAGAGACACCCCCCCACCTCCAAGGAGGACGGCCTTGTAGGCGCCGAGCATATAAGAGGGAGGCTGGTCCCAGAACCGCAGGCTCCAGCTCCTGCACGCCCTTCCAGCATCTTCCTTTCAGAGGCAGCGGCGATGGGTGATCCTTGAGGAGAGGAGAGTGGGTTAGGGAGAGCTACACACAGTGTCCCTTGTCCTCCTCCTCTGCCCGGAGCGGACAGGGACCCGAGGACTGGGGAGCAGGAAGGCCCAGCACTGTGCCGCTGGGGAGGCGCCCACAGCTGGGCCAGAGTTGCAGGGCCAGGCTGGCCGGGTGCCGCGTGTGACCCGGGCTGACGTCTCCCCCCCCTTCCACAGAACAGAGGTTTCTCCCGAAAGAGCCACGCATTCCTGCCCAAGATCTTCTTCCGCAAGATGTCGTCCTCGGGGGCCAAGGACAAGCCGGAGCTGCAGTTCCCCTTCCTTCAGGACGAGGACACGGTGGCTACGCTGCAAGAGTGCAAGACCCTCTTCATCCTGCGCGGCCTGCCAGGGAGCGGCAAGTCCACGCTGGCCCGGGTCATCGTGGACAAGTACCGCGACGGCACCAAGATGGTGTCAGCCGACACATACAAGATCACCCCCGGCGTCCGGGGAGGCTTCTCCGAGGAGTATAAGCGGCTGGACGAGGACCTGGCCGCCTACTGCCGGCGCCGGGACATCCGCGTCCTCGTGCTGGATGACACCAACCACGAGCGGGAGCGGCTGGAGCAGCTCTTTGAGATGGCCGACCAGTACCAGTACCAGGTGGTGCTGGTGGAGCCCAAGACGGCGTGGCGGCTGGACTGCGCCCAGCTGAAAGAGAAGAACCAGTGGCAGCTGTCGGCCGACGACCTGAAGAAGCTGAAACCGGGGCTGGAGAAGGACTTCCTGCCACTCTACTTCGGCTGGTTCCTGACCAGGAAGAGCTCCGAGACCCTCCGCAAAGCCGGCCAGGTTTTCCTGGATGAGCTGGGCAACCACAAGGCCTTCAAGAAGGAGCTTCGACACTGTAGGTGGTGGGCGGGAGGCTGGGCAGGGGGGAACCAGGGAGCTGGGGGAACCAGGGAGCTGCGGGCACAGGACAGACCATCCGTGTACTCGGGACTGGGTGTGAAGTAGGGGCTCACCCAGAGGCGGCAGAAGCAAGCTGGTGCTTCCCAGGGGTGGCCCTAGTGAAGCCCCTCTGTTCCTACCGCGCTGCCACCCCTAGGGCCACCCCTGGGAAGCACCAGCTTGCTTCTGCCTTCAGGTCGTCGGCTGACAGTTCCTAGTCCCCTTTACCCAGCCTGGGTCGAGACCACTGTCCCCGTCTTGGGGGTGGGAAAAACACTGTAACAAGAAAATATGTCACCTTATAACTTTAGGGGGAGGATCTGGCCCCGTGTTTTTTTGTTTTGTTTTTGAGTTGGAGTCTCACTCTGTCACCCAGACTGGAGTGCAGTGGCCGCTCCCAGCCACCGCAGCCTCAACCTGCTGGGCTCCGGCGATCCTTACCCCTCAGCCTTCCAAGTAGCCGGAATTACAGCCATGCGCTACCACACCCGGCTGATTTTTTGATTTATTGTAGAGATGAGGTCTCGCTGCCCAGGCAGGTCTCGAACCCGCGGGCTCAGGCAATCCACTCACCTCAGCCTTTGTTTTTGAGTCAGAGTCGCACTCTGTTGCCCAGCCTGGAGTGCGGTGGCTTGCTCACAGCTACCCCAACGTTGACCTGCTGGGCTCAGGCGATCCTTTTGCCTCAGCCTTCAAAGTAGTTGGAACTATAGGCACGCACCACCATGCCCGACTAATTTTGATTTATTGTAGAGACAAGGTCTCACCAAGTTGCCTAGGCTGGTCTCGAACCCCTGGGTTCAGGTAATCCTCTTGCCTCTGCCTCCCAAAGTGCTGGGATTACAGGCTTGAGCCACTGCGCCCAGCCTGGCCCCCTTGTTTTCAAGCTCAATTTCGGCAGCAGAATCATGTTCCAAAAATTATTTGAAACTCTAAGCTGCAGAATAATTAGAAGTAGGACTACTGTGACTTCACTGGGGATGGCTCCCAGGCCTGGAGCTACTCAGGGTGCTCATGGGTATGCAGCGTCCTGCAGCTCCAGGAGACATGAGTGTCACACCTAGTTCCAGAGCCCTGGCTTTCCAGGTGGGAAAACAGGCCCAGGTGGGATGTGGGCCATGCAGCTGGCACCTGGATTCTGTCCACCCCAGCAGGGTCCCTCCTGGGAGGGGCTCTTTGCTCCAAGGATAGGGGAGGGTCCTTGTGGCTTTCTGACGGTGGCTCCTTGGCAAAATGCCACCCACTAACCCATCTATGGCTTCATGCCGTGTCTGGTCCCCCCTCCTCTTAGATGATATCATACTTGAATTAGACCCTGCCCGTGTTTCTTGGTACTGGCCTGAGGTGCTCAGAGGCAGGACATTTGTGCTGGAGGGTTCTTGGGGAACTTTCTCCCCAGCTCCTGAGCTGGAACTCGGCAGGGCCCATGGTCCCTGCAGGGACGTTGGCCAGGAGTAAGCCCTGTATCTGAGGAAGGCTGAGGGGAAAAGCAACCGAGAGGGGGACTGGGACTGCCAGCCGAGCTGGTGGCTGCGCCCTGGATTGACTGTGACCCTGAAAAATGGGAATCCAGGAGACATGCTGTGGGTTAAGAACTGGGCTGATCTCAGAGTGAGGTCTTCCCCCCGGGGCACTTCCTCTGGGAGGGCCAGACAGCCACCCCAGGTCTCAGTCTCTCTGGGGAACTAACAGAGAAAAGTCAGTGACTCCGAAGACAACCGCAAGGTATAGAGTCTGGATATGGAAGTCACACTCTATGTGTCCACTGGCCACATGTCCACATCGTTGCCCCGTTATAGACAAGACCCTGCCCACCCCAGGTCCTCTGTAGACCCTTGCCTCTCAAGTGGACCTGCAAGGTGTGTATTATGACACTGTAACTTCTTGTCCTTATGAGTGATGTGACATGGGGTGCGACTAATTGTTACCCACATGGTCCTGGGAACACTGGAGTACATGGTCACCCTAGCTGTCCTCCTGGATTGACAGATAAGGGTCAATCGCTTGCCCCGGGTCAACGGCTAGCAAGGGCAGGGTGGAGTTGTTGTTTTTCTGGTACTTTCTGCCAGGCCTCCCTTGGTGTTCCTGGCTCTCTGCCTTTCCACCCTACTTCTCATGCCTTGGTTTTCACTTAGATGTGTCACCGGTAAATCTCAGGGTCCTGTGGCTGCCTCCCTGGGTTACAGGTGCCCTGGAGTTTGGGGAAGAGGTAAAGACCTACACAAGGGACAGCCAGGGGGTGTCCACACTCTTCCTAGCTCTGGAGTTCCTGTTGCTTGACCAACTAGTACAGCAATGAACTGCAGGGGCGCTGAGCCTCTGCTGTTTCCTCCGCTCCGTCTCGGTACGGTGTTGGCACGCCCCTGCCCTGCCCTGACTGCGCCCTCTTCCCCTGCAGTTGTCTCTGGGGACGAGCCCAGGGAGAAGATTGAACTGGTCACCTACTTCGGGAAGAGACCCCCGGGCGTGCTGCACTGCACGACCAAGTTCTGTGACTACGGGAAGGCTGCTGGGGCCGACGAGTATGCCCAGCAGGATGTGAGTGCTCCAGGGACACCAGCTGGGGAGAAGGGAGAGAGGGCTGAAGGTGTTCTGGAAATGGGCACTAGTGTCAGGCAGGAGACCTCCCCCAGCTCCCCCACCCCAGGCTCAACCACCTGCTCTCAGGTGGCCTGCCTAACCCATGGAGAACACTGGTCAGCACTGAATGGTGCCTCCTCTGGCCTCTATCGGTCCTATAGGCCAGGAGTCCCTTGCCCCGGAAGCCTGATGTGCAGCGGTTTGTGTCTGTAGCAGCCTTGCGGAGTGGAAGGACGGCAGCGCTTACTGGCCTGTGGGTCCTAGGCCCTGCTGTGCCAGAGCCGGCACCCTCCGCCTGCAGCCCTAAGATGTGGCCCTTGGACACCAGGCGTGTGCCTCAGATCCTCAGGGCTATCTCCAGCTGCCTCGGGAGCCCTTCCCTGACGCCATGCCATCCTCTGCCTAGGTTCCCACAGCCATGATGGTGCTCGTTTGCTCACTGGTCTCCTCCTGGGGCGAGGTGTTTTAAACTGAATTCACTCCCGCGTTCCCAGTGCCCTGGCGTAGCTAAATGAATACGGGCTCACTTGTAGCAGCACTTGTAGCCAGATACATAATCAGACATGAACCCAGGGTCCCCACGGGCTTCGACAGGGTGGGTCAGCCTTCACCTGCCGCCCAGGGCACCTGAGCAGTGACGGCAGCAGCCCCTGCTGTATGCCTGGCTGCTTCCCAATCCCCAGGCTGACACTGAGGCAGGCTCTGAATGTCCCGCTTTCCGGGTGAATAAACCCAGGTGCCCAGCGAGGCAGCTAGCCTGGAAGCCAGCAAGTGGGGCTCCGGTCTCGCACCAGCCTGTCCCTCCTGTGCCCATGGGCAGCAGCCTGTGGACCATGTGCCTCTGCTCAGTGCGCTCACTTCTGCTAGACTCCCCTCTCCTGCAACTGAGCCACCCTGTCCGCTGGACCTCAGGCCCCCACCTCTAGCTTGGCCTCTCTTGCTCTCCCCAGGTGGTGAAGAAGTCCTACTCCAAGGCCTTCACACTGACCATCTCCGCCCTCTTTGTGACTCCCAAGACAATGGGGGCCCGAGTGGAGCTAAGCGAGCAGCAGCTGTCCCTGTGGCCGACCGACGTGGACAAGCTGTCCCTCTCTGACAACTTGCCCCGGGGAAGCCGTGCCCACATCACACTGGGCTGTGCGGCTGACGTGGAGGCTGTGCAGACGGGCCTCGACCTCTTGGAGATTGTGCGGCAGGAGAAGGGGGGCAGCCGGGGCGAGGAGGTGGGTGAGCTGAGCCGAGGCAAGCTCTACTCCTTAGGCAGCGGGCGCTGGCTGCTGAGCCTGGCCAAGCACATGGAGGTCAAGGCCATCTTCACGGGCTACTATGGGAAGGGCAAGCCTGTGCCCACGCAGGGTGGCCGCAAGGGGGGTGCCCTGCAATCCTGTGCCATCATATGAGTGTCTTGCCACGGTACCCCGCTCTTTAGAAGGGAGGGGGAAGCAAGCCCTCCGCTTGTCTGTTTCAAGAGTCTTTTTTTTTACTCCAAGTTAACCTACCTGTAACTTTTAAAAACTTGCCCCTCCCTTCCTGCCCACCCTCTTGTCCTCTAACAGCCCCGCTCACAACACATGGGCGCAGGCAGACACCATCTGGGAATCCAGACCACAGCTGACAGGCTGGGCCCACAGTCACAGCCGGAACCCTGAGTCCTACCGCTTCCAGGTTCCAGTTAGTCCAGCCCAGGCCCAGGCCCACTCCCTGCCCAGAGCGGCCAGCCCCGCTGCTGGAGGAGAAGGGTGGTGGTGGGCTGTGGGAGCTTGCCACCGCTACAGAAAACTTGTGGTGGCTTTGGGGGGGAGGACTTCTGGGCTTTGACCCCTTTTTAATCACTTTAGCCTCAGGAAGGCCGGGGCTGTTCACCAGGGCAGAAAAAGGCTTGCCTCCCATCCTTGGTCCCAACTCTGCCCGTTCTGCACACTGTAACACGGTAACATTTTGATAACCAGGGAAGAACAGATGACCCATGGCGGCTGCGTCCCAGGCTGCCTGCCAGTCTCCCACCAGGAGAGCAGTTCTGTAGGATGCATGGGGAGACGCACGCAAAGAGGAAGCACAGCCTTGCTGTCTGCCCAGCCCATCCTGTCTCCATGGTGCCTGTGGAGGCCTCTGGGCCTCTAAGGGAGGCCGGTGGGTGCTGAGAGCCAGTGGAGTAGAACTCCCAGCTGGTAAGGGCCGGGGCCCGCCTGCTGCCCGGGGGGGGGGGGGGTTTCTGAAGCTGCTGCGTGTGCTGCGGTTCCTGGGGTGCCCTCCACTGCCCTCTGCTCAGTAACAGGCCTTGCTAATCAGGTTGCCATTCAATAGATGTGCTTTGGATTTAAGGTACTATCCTGGCTTTGCCCAACCTCAGCAACTTGTAAGACTGATAATGAAATAAATCATGTTAATCCTGGCTGTGTGCAGTCTCCCACCTTCTGTGCCCGGCTCAATCTTCCCTGGGGCTAGGGCCGGGTGTGTTAGGACTGGCTTTGTCCCACAGCTTGGGGCCATCGGTCCTGTCTCCCCTCTGCTGGCTGGGCACAGCTGTGGTGAGGCTGAGCAGCTGAACAGTGTTGGCTTTCATGAGGAGGCAGAAAGGGAAGAAGCTGACCTTAGAGCCATACAGAAGGTGGGGGTTGGCAGTCTGAGGGAGGTGGGGCACAAGTGCTCTTACCCCCGCTAGCTAGGGCACCAGGCCCAAGGTGTCTCCAGCCCACTCCCACCTGAGACTTCTCAGGAAGACCCCAGGCTCCCAGTATGGGGTTTACCAGTTCTTGAGGGCAGGCCACCTTTAGGCACTGGGGAAGACCAACTACTTGAGTCTCTTCCAGGCCAGCAGAGGCCTCAACAGCCAAGACAGGGAAACTCCCCAGGTCCTAGTCAACTATTCACCATGGCCTTGGCCCCAACAGGGAAAAACAGAGATAAGGAGCAGCTTAGGGATTAGAGAAATTCAGTTATCGTTCTAGTTCAAGGCCTTTCCTGCCAGTCTCTACTACCAAAGCACTAAAAAGCTAAGCTTCAGCCAAAGTCGCACAGCTGGAAGTCCTAAGGAGGCAGCTCACCTTGAATGGCAGGCCAGAGCAGCAGGACACCCGCTCCTCCCTTGCCAGGCTTGACTCCCACAGGCAGAAGGGAGACCAGGGGAGGAGGTGGGTGCATTCGCTGAGAACGGGGCTGCCATGGTGGGAGCCCCGGGTGGGCAACCAGACCAGGGCTTGGAACTGCCAGCCCCACTCTGAAAGGGTCTGGGGGTCAGCAGGTAGGATGGCACCAGCAAGGATGCTGAGAACCCATGAGGTCCACTCCCCACTACGTCAGCACCCTCCTGCACTCCTTCTGGTAACTTCTGGGAACCCCGCTGTGAACTGAGCATGCTTTCCCAACTCGCTTTCCCATGACTGGCATCGGGTCCCTGCCAGGGTCACTCTGTGCTGGAGCTCAGCTCGGGCCCTGACTCTGGAGTGACACAAAGCAGCTGCCAGAGCAAAGGGCCAGAAAGGGTCAAAACATTTTATTCTCTTCTTTTTTTCTTTTTTAATAAAGTTAAACAGTAAAACAAAACTTCACAAGCTGCCTCCCTGCCCCCCACCCCCCGCAGTCCTGGGCACTGGCTCCCTTCCTCCACCAACTCACAGACACAGGGTATCCGACCAAGAAACGACTCTAAGGACATGGAGACTGATGAAGGGGGAGGTGACCATGTCCACACCAGGCGACACCGAGCGGCTCAGCATGTTCTGGGCTCTGGGGGCTGCCCTTCATTAGCCAAACTGGAAGAAGAAATTCCCTGGACCAGATGCTGAAAGGGAAGCACAGGGCTCGTTGGTTGGCCTGTGGGTTTTCTTAGGATGATCCCTTTGTTCTGACTATGGACAAGTCTTCAAGAGCAGATTCAAATTCCAACAGAGAAATTCTAAGAAACACTAAGTGTCCAGGCTCTGAGGGCAAGAGGGAGCACTTGGCCACTCACACCACATACGACTTCTGCCCTCTCACTCCTGCAGAGAAGCCCTGGGACCAGGCTGCTCAGACACACCCCAGCCCTGCAGGGTGCGGTGTTATCAGTGCCAAGGCAAGGGGTATGGGAAACACTCCCTTCATCTACAGCCACCGCCAAGGGCAAGATGCCCTGCAGGAAAGAACTCAGCCCCCCCCCCCCCGGGGCCCCAACTCTCAAAGGCTGCCCATGTGGGGATCGGTGTTGGCCTGTGACCTGAGAACTCCCTAAAACAGCAGGCACACCCACCTTCAAAACTGAAGCCCCCAGGACCACCAAAGAACGCCTTGAAGATGTTGTTTGCATCAAAATCTGTGGCAGAGCAAGTAACAAAAAGGGACAAGAAGGTGAGACAATTATTAGAATGTGTGTCTGAAGAACTGAAGACTGAGAAGGGTCTCTAAAGCTTTTTCCCGGTCTCCCTCCCCACCTTCCTGACACGGCAGCCCAGCAGTGAGCAGATCCGCCCATAACCCCATGCCCAGAAGGTGCTCCCTTCTCCCTCCAAGCGCGTCCACAGGAAAGTGTCCTGTGCCTCCACCTGCTGCACTGGATGTCTGCTCAACAACTGGGTGCTGTTGACTCTTGTGACACAGGACTTGCCCATACTCTGTCCTCCATAATGCTGGAGCTGCTACTAGCAAGGCTAACATGCTTCTCTTAAATGCCACCAGAAGTGAATATAAGAACAAGACCTATGATTCATGTATGAGTCCCTGTCTGTTACTGTCTAGACTGCCAGGAAAAACTCTATGGTTTACTGGGCACCTACTAGATGTGAGTCCTGGTGCTGGTACTTGCATACCATATCATTTAATCCTAGTAACACTCTGTCAGGATGTTATTCCCAATGTATATTCAACAAAACTTATGGAGTTCAAGAGACTTGCCCAAGATCACATGGCCTGACTTGAAAGCAGCAGAACTGGGAGTTCCAGCTCCCGTGTGATTCTGGCAATGTGCTTTCCTAGGCTACGGTGGGTCTGACGGCCCAGCCCCGATGACTCCCTAAGCCACACAGAAGGGCTGATCACCACAGGACCCCCACAGATACCTCGTGCCCCAAAGCAAGTTTCTCTGCTGCTTCTGGGTTCCCTTGGCTCAGCAAATGGCCCGCGAGTCAGCCCTGCCTGTCACTCCCAACTCGGCCATCCCCAGCAACTGCCTCCCCCTGAGCCTATGCCACCTCCCAGCTGTGCCCTCCTCTCCCACCTCCCAGCTGTGCCCCCCTCCCCTCCCCTTGCTTCCCTTCCCTTTCCTCCTGCCTCCCAGCTGTGCCCTCTCCTCCTCTCCCACTGGTTGTGTCTTCCCTCCATTGCTACCTTCCTCCACACCAACATCACACATAGGTTTCTAGAGCCGTTCAGTCCCCACTTAAACTCCTCACTAGCTTCTGACAGCTCTTTTCAGCTGCTGGGCAGCACATGTCTATTACTGGTAAATCTCAGACTATTCAGCAAATGGCCCATGAGTCAGCCCTGCCCAACACCCCCACTCTGAACTGGAGAGGATTTGGGATTATCTCTACAGCATCACTATTCTCATTTTAAATTCCAGTAGAGGCCAGGCGCAATACCTCATGCCTGTAATGCCAGCACTTTGGGAGGCAGAGGTGAGAGGACTGCCTAAACTCAGGGGTTCAAGACCAACATGGTGAGACCTCATCTCTACAATAAATCAAAAAATTAACCAGGCACGGTGACATGTGCCTGTGGTTCCAGCTGCTTGGAAGGCTAAGGTGGAAGGATCACCTGAGCCCAGCTGGTCGAGGCTGTGGGGGCTGTAAGCGTGCCACTGCACTTCAGCCTGGGTGACAGAGTGAGACTCTGACCAAAAAAAAAAAAAAAATCCAGTAGATTCTCTTAGTGGGAGAGAAAGGGCTGGCATCAGAGAGGAGGCTCTGTGCCCGGCGTGACCCAGGGCCCCTTCACTCCCTGACAGCCTACCGTGAGCAGCGACACTGATGACAGCTGCCTTGCTTCACACCAAGTCTTCTTGGGAAACTAAAACTGGTGAGGATGTGTGGGAATGCCTGACAACGTAAGGGCTAGGGCACACATCTCTGCAGAGAATGGGACAGGCCCATGCTGCCCACCATGCAGGTGGCTTTCTGAGGTCTGAGCTGGCTGCCTGCCTCCAGCACCTGCCGTGATGACCCTGGACAGAGCTCACGGACCCCAGAGCTAGGCTTTCCTGTGCCTACAGGCCTCACCGTGCTGGCACTCGCCTTAGCCTCCTAGGCACACCCAACCTGGCACCTGCCTGCGCTGTCTGATGCCATTTCTATTATTCTGGGTAGGCCAGGGATCAGAAAGGGCCCATGGACTAACTTTGCAAACCCCTAGAAGGTGGGTTTCTGGAGGTCAAGGAGCTGATGGGGCTGGTCCTCACTATCCCAGCCCCCAACACAGTGCCTGACCATCACAGGCACTCATCAGAGGGTGGCTTTACAAACCATGCACGCCACCAGCCGATCACGTTCAGACTCTTACTCTGGAGCGTATCAGAAGAAATTCTAACATTCCACAGCTGTCTGCTTCCGCCCAGGCGGCCCCAACCAACTCACCGCCCATATTCATGCCCTCCTCATCCAGGTCCTGTCCACTGTCATAGCGAGTCTTTTTCTTGGGATCCGAGAGGATGGTAAAGGCCTCTCCCACTTCCTTGAACTTCTTCTCCTCTTCTTTCTGAACCTCCGCACTGGCTCCACTGTGCCGATCTAGAGGGAGGCGTGTGGGAAGAATTCAGATGGAGGCGGAGTCTCAAGAAAACAAAGTTTAAGAGTAAAACCACTGTGTAGTGTGATCTTGGGATTTGGCACTTCCCCAGATCTGGAGGGTATGGATGCTGCAGCACCTTATGCCCCCTGAGGCCCCTCTCTGAGCTCCCCTGGACTGAGGACTGAGCCTAGTGGTGGGCCTGCCTGGCGGACTCTCCCTGCTGAGTCCTCGCCCCTCCAGCTCTACCTGGATGGTGCATCAAGGCCCGTTTCCGATATGCTTTCTTGATCTCATCCTCAGAGGCATTCTTGTCCACTCCCAGGATCTTGTAGTAATCTTTCCTCTTACTCTTCTTCAGTTCCAGCTGTGCATTTTTTAGGAGCTGTTTGTGTTCTAGAAGGAGACACCTGGCATCAAAGGCCAAACCTGATTCTGGTTTCCCTTGCCAGGCCCCAGCCCAGCTGCCTGGGAGTAAGGAGCCTTGTTAACCAAGCCAGGGGCTTTTATGGTGCTTTCTTCTGCAGATGAGAACAAATCTTCGGTTCCTCACACTGGCCTCATCACACAAAAGAGGAAGTGAAAGTCACAGGGAGGATCTGGGACCAGAAAACAGATGCCTCTTGTCCCCATCCAGGACCTCCACTCACTGCTTCCTGGCTAGGGATCAAATAAGCTCCGGGGACATCCCTGAATCAAACAACCTGTGTCCAGCTTTAGGGTCTACAAGCAAGGTCACAGAGTCCCTGAGAAGCCAGTGTCTCAACTCCGTTACCTTTAGTTTTCTCCGTCTGATACACTTTCTCATAGTCCCGCACTGCTTCTTCATACTGTTCTGTGTCCATGTAACTGAGAAGGAAATACAGCAATACAGTGCTCAGACACAAATATAAACGGTCTTCCGCATCACTCTGGGCAAGAGGCACGGCTCAAGCAAGAGACACACACTTCTAGTAAGATGCTTCATGAAACAGGAGCCCTCAATCTAGCAGAGAGAGAAAATGAGCTATCAGTTCCTCCAGGAAAAAAGGAGACAGGCTTCATGGCACTTGCCCCCCAGCAGAGTGATGTTTAGCTCTGATCAGGAAGTAATCAAGGGGAAAAGCTCCTTCTAGCACTGCCACCTCGAGAGGCATTGGCTGCCTTAGGAAAGACAATGTAAAGGCACCAACTTGATTACTTGGGATTGAAACACACAAGAGGAAATTATCAAGTGAGATAAATGGATATGAAAGAACTGTGAAACCTACAGTGCCATAAACATGCAGGACTAGCTCCAATACAGAGTAGACGCACAATTAGTGAGTCACAAAAGGCATCAAATTCAAGGTGGTGGCTGCTGGCAAATGCTTCCATTAAGACCAATCAATCAGAGAGATATAGGTAAATGAAACAGAAAAGGAGACTCTAAACACAGGTTTGCTTCTATTTCAGCAGCAAAGAAGAGAGGGGCCCCTGACCCAAGATGGGAGGAATCTACCTTGACAGGCTGATGGCCAGACCTTTTAAGTGTCTCTTCCGGGCCGGGCTCGGTGACTCAGCCTGTAATCTCGCGCCTTGGGAGGCCGAGGTGAGTGAATTGCCTGAGCCCGCGGGTTCGAGACCCGCCTGGGCAACTTGGCGAGACCTCATCTCTTCAATAAATCAAAAAAATTAGCCGGGCGTGGTAACGCGCGCCTGTAGTTCCAGCTACTTGGAAGGCTGAGGCAGAAGGATCACCGGAGCCCAGCAGGTCGAGGCTGCAGTGGCTGGGAGCGATCACTGCACTCCAGTGTGGGTGACAGAGTGAGACTCCAACTCAAAACAACAACAACAACAACAACAACAACAAACAAAAACATAAAAAATAAAAATAAATAAGCCGGGCTCGGTGGCTCAGCCTGTAATCCTGCGCCTTGGGGGAGGCTGAGGTGAGTGGATTGCCTGAGCCCGTGGGTTCGAGACCCGCCTGGGCAACTTGGTGAGACCTCATCTCTACAATAAATCAAAAAATTAGCCGGGCATGGTAGCGTGCGCCTGTAGTTCCAGCTACTTGGAAGGTTGAGGCGGAAGGATAGCTGGAGCCCAGCAGATCGAGGCTGTGGTGGCCGGGAGCGGCCACTGCACTCCAGTCTGGGTGACAGAGTGAGACTCCGACTCAAAAAAAAATTAAACAAATAAATAAATAAATAAAAGTGTCTCTTCCACAGAAGCAAGTGGCATTGTCCATGTCCCGATAAGATCACTGGCACCAAGCCTGGTCTACCCATTAAACAGACTGTGGTAGGAGTTCCCAAGACCACCGCCATCCACTGGGGAAGGGAATGCAATCAGGCCATGCAGCTGGCTGCTACACAACAGTTTATTCATTACGCTAGGGCCACACAAACCCATGTACAGGCCTCAGACTCACCAGCCTCAGAGCCAGGGCAGGAGAGTGCTGCGAATGTGGCCAACAGAAGAGAAGCCCTGTCTTGGGCATCTCTAATTTTCCAGCAACAGAAAACGTATATACATTTTGATGTATGACATTAAAAAAAAAAACAACAATGCCTGGCAGACACAGGATTCAAATGCTATTAGGAGCTCAGAGAACCAATTTACAGAATTTAATGTAAATAATTTGAAGTAAAAATTTTTTTAATAAGATAGCCCTGGATATAGAATGATGTGACAAATGATTAACCATGACAAACTTTCTAGGCCCATATGTAATGTATCAAACACGCTATACTTCAGTGATTTGCATTTTTACCTTAATTCGATGATATCCTTACATTTTAAATCTTTTGAAGAGCTGAAAAAAGTTTCTACTGAGTAAAAAGTGAGTGGGGTTTCTGGGAAAAGGAAATTCTGGCTCATGCAGGGATGCACAAAGCTTTGGCATCTCCCCAACTTTAGGGGTAAGTTGAGGCACACGGTAGCAACGCCAGGCCTCTGGTAAGGTTTTGGCCCAAGTTAATCTCCACACTTCTGGTCAACCCCAGATGGTTCAGGGGACTGCTGCCAGATACTCAGCCACCTATGCTCAGCAGTACCCAGGGCCCCGTGGTAGGCTCTTAGGCAGAGTCATCATCTGATCAAAGCAGTACCTGATTTTTGTTTATCGTATATACATGAAAAAGAAAAGAATTTTCCATCCAGTTATCATCCTAGCAAACCAAGAATTTGCTGTTCTCTTCCCATTTCCTGCTCACACAACACACAGCATCTCATCAAGCTGATCAGTATTATGTATCTGGTCACCCCCTTCCCACTAGACATTCAGGTGATTCTGTTTTGCTAGTATAGATAAAATGGCTGCAAACAACTTCGTGTATACAACATTATGCGTCTGTTAAAGTCAGCCTTTAGCTGGGCCCAAGGCTGTTATCTTCTAAAGCTTCTGCTTTTGAATGCCAGTGGCTTCAGACGGAATGTCTGAAGGCTGGTCTCACAGAATCTGTAATATAACTCCATGAATGTTTTTGTTGGACAGACTTACTTAGAAATTCACTTTTTAAAAAGCATTATACACAGGAGCAGTTTTCCTACTTGAAGTGAGATTTGGGAGCTAAGGGCGGGCAGTCCATGAACTGTCTGACCACCCACAAGGTGAGGAAGCTGGAACTGCTGGCTCGTCAGGCAGCAGCAATGGCACCATTCTGCAGACAGCATGTTTTGTAACGAGGAATGGAGCAGGTGCTGGAGAGTTGGGATACAACAAACACACTCTTCAGAAACTTTAAAGAGGGGGCTCTTCTTCGTCTGGAGAATAATCTGAAGTAAGAAGAGCTGGACTTCTGAGAGAGGCCTCTCCAGCTCTTGTTAACATTTCTGTTCAAGAGAAAGATGAACTACCATGCTGGGAGAACCCTGGTTCGGGCAGATCTGGGCACCAGAGGTGGACATGTCCTAGCTCCCAGGTCGCCTTGTCAGACAGGGAGTCCCCTCTGCTCAACGCACTCAGGCAGACTACCCAACAGGATACCTCAAAAGGCATTTCCTTATGCCAGAGGCCGAGTCAGCTTAAATCTCTTCCAACTGTAAGACCGTCTTCCTTCGCCCAGAACAAGCAGGACAGACAGGTTCAACTCTCAACCGTCTCTGGGAGACACTGCGTTTCCTCCTCTCCCAAGCACCATACATTCATTTAACAAAACAGGTACTGAGTGAGCACCTATGTGTCAAGCACTGTGCCAAGATAGAGCATAAGTGTAAAACACAAAATCAGATCTCCAAAGGAAATGGATTTAAACGTTAACAAAAGGCATGTGGGTCAGGCATCAGAGGACACTTACTGACCGTGAGGGCGTTAGACAAAGGCATGGGAGCCTGAGGGAGCTTGGGCATTCTCCTCCGCTGGAGGTCTATAAAGATAGTCTAGGACTGGAACAATCCCACCTAGAGGCAGGGGGAAGGACCAAATGACCTCACAACATCCCTGGGTCTGCTCCATCATTCACAACACAAGTCCCCTGGCAGGCACTCCCCTGGTGGCCAGTGGCGACACCCTCCTCCCCCACCCACAGAGGCACTCACCACTGGGCTCTTCTCAAGTAGGCTTTTACGTAAGTGTCGTCGAGCTTCACTGCACTTGTGCAGTCTTCTATCGCCTCATCTAGTTTCCTAAGCTTCAGGAGAGAGAGAGCAGTCACACTTCATGTCTCTGGTGACTGGGGGAGTCCAGAAGCTGTGAACATGGCTTCACAATTCTAAGAGGATCAGTCATGCTGGCCGCTAACAGTCCCACTCAGCTCCCACTCTTTGTCACAAAGGTCAAGGACACCAAATTCAAATCGGTTTCTCTTCTATGTGATGCAAGCCAGGCACACTTGTCTGCAAGGATAAACCACCTCCCCCATTCCACATCAGTGTCCAACCCAGACTCGGAAATAGGAAGGGGGGGGCTCCCATTCTCTACTCTTCTAGAGGTCGACTAGAGAGGTCAGAATTACCATGATTTTTAACTAATTTTGCAAGAAGCCTACTTCTTCTTTCTTGTGGTGTGTGGGGCCACAAGAGCACCAGGGCCATTTTCAACCATGTGTGTGACCATCAGTTACGCTGGAGAAAAAAGCTAAGCCCACTTCATACTCTACGTTCCTCCAAATCACTTCTAAAAGTGGATGACCACTTGTTTAAGCAAACAGATGTGACAATAGTCGCTTTAAATGACTCCAAACTGCCAGGTGCAGTGGCTCATGCCTATAATCCCAGCACTTTGGGAGGCAGAGGTGAGAGGATTGCCTGAGCCTAGGGGTTCAAGACCAACTTTGGCAACATGGAGAGACCTCATCTCTACAATAAATTAAAAAATTAAGCTGGGTTCGGTGGCTCAGCCTGTAATTCTGCGCCTTGGGAGGCTGAGGTGAGTGGATTGCCTGAGCCCGTGGGTTCGAGACCCGCCTGGGCAACTTGGTGA